GGTGACGGCTTCGTATCCCACAAGGAGGAAGGTCCCAGTGATTCACTCTGGCTCGCAAGAGCGATAAGGAATGGAGCAACGGCGTCTGCTCTAAAAATTCGGTGATCCACGGGACGCAGCTGACACAATTGACAGTGAAATCTCGTAGTCCAAGTATTTCCGCAGAAAAAAAAAGAAAAACAAAACGTAGAAATAGAATTAAAATTAAATTGTATAACTCGTATGGAATCAAACGAAAACTCGAGACAGGATGCGCTGGGAAGTACAAAATAAAGCTCATACTTACATTCTAGTTTGCTGCGGATGAAGGGGCGTGTCAGACGGGATGAGTTTGGCGAGATGCCAAACCCGTTCTCCACCAGTTGTTGAAGCGAGCAAGTGACAAGATCATATCTTATTGTTCCTATCACTCGTTTTCAACCAGTTGTTGTCGCATACTCGCTTCAACTATGCAGAGGACGGCTTTCGCGCAGTGGTTCACTGATACTGCCTGACACGCCCCTTCGTCCGCAGCGAACCAGAGTATAGGCATGTGAGACTGATTCGCTGAAGCTGTTTTAACTGGACCAAACAGATCCGATTATGCAGGAGTTAGTGTGAAAACAGCTAGTGCACCTTGAGAGCCCTCTCTGAACTTGAAAGGCATTGGTGCTTTTATGAGCCTCAAAACAGTTCACCACGGAAAGGTCAGTGAATGTGCGCTGTGATGGATAAATTGTCGTTGCCAATAGCTTATAGTCGTCACTTTGATCAGCAAATAACAGAAAAAGCTTATATCGTACCTGGGGGCTCCACACAGTCACATCGCTGTCGTATTGGTTGCGAAACATTCTTGATCAGGCCAAAGATTTACCAGCAACACTGCAAGCAGTAACAGCAACTCATTTCAAAACCTCTCAGGACATTTATAAGGTGCACAATGTCGAACAATGATTCCGAAAAACAGCCGAAGCTCATATAAATCAAGGACGAGAATATGCCCGTAACAAGAGAGAAAATCCAGAAGAAAAACTAAAACGAAGTTTAAAAGCAATGCTCAAAATCATCACTAAAACAAGTTCTTGTGTGTGCGCGCGGTCGCGCTGCGTCCACTATGGAGCGCGTAATCTTGACCGCCACACTCGCTCGTTTGTACGTCAAAACTCATCGAGATTTTGATAGATCTTGCAAAACACTTGATCACGGGTTTTTCCACGGGCTAGACAGAAGGTTATGTTTTATTTATAGTAATTCCAATATAAGTCTTTCTCTTAGCATTATGGATGCGCAGTATTTGGGTATGCTTCGATGGTTAAGGTTTTAAATTGGGTAAAGTAGCTACCCTACCATTTTTTGAACCCCATGTCCAAAGAATGTTATCACGGTGTCCGGAGAGTTCTGAGAAAAATCCGTTGTCCCACACTGGAATAGCGTAGCGCGAAGGAGATAAACAACACTGTAAATCAAAGTGAGAGAAAATAGAGGATCATCCACAGATCAAATCAGCAGCTGATCGATATTACATCTCGTCATAAGCCTCGGTTGTCATCAATCGAATAATGTGCGACAGACACGACACTCGACGTATCCTACTTCATCTTTACCGTTCCGGCCTGCTCCGCCACTCAAGCCAGGAAATGAGTTGCTGCCGGCAATGGGTAGCAG